ATCAAACGCAAAGTGCAGGAAAACAAAATTAACGTCGAAGGTAGAACACGAAGCAAACATTGTAGAAAGTTCAACAGGGTTTATGTTTTGAGTTACCTAAGCACTCTTTTACAAATCGCTCCATTTCCACTGTATACATAAAACCGCATGTTTATTGCGATTAAAGAAAAGGTGCCCGGTTTACCACCGAATGCGTGATACGGCACACAGAGGGAGAGAGTAACTGCAAACATGAATCGAATGACTCATGTCTGGTAGTTAAAGTTGGTTTAAATACAAAAATATTTGAAAGATTATGGGAAAAATAAACACAATAACAGGCCCAAAATAAAAAGCCAATAATGCTTTTTCTTCCTATGTCACCCCTGGTTTTCATCCTACACACATTCTGCATATGTTGAAAAAAATTAAACAAATCAACCGCGATTGATACCAGCAATCTGTGACTGAATAATATCTGGTTCATGAGGACTTCCATCTGTAGCACTCATATAATTTGTGGTCTCATCTACTTCCCCGCCTTTTATCTGGTGTGGCATCTTTTTCATCGTATTAAACGTTCTCTGATAAGATAGTTTTGTCGAACCTGAGCCTATCACTCATTTCGTTCCAATCTTTTCTGTCGATTGCAGAGTACAAACCCAAACTTGATTCTGCTTCTCCAGAAGGCAGCATGATTTATTACGTTGAACATCAAACTACTTTTTAACCCCCGTCAGATGCCAAATATGGCGGATCTCCGGTGCTTCTAAAGGTTGTACAATTCTATACCCTTACGTGTGTCTTTCCAATAAACGATTTGCAAGATTTACCAAATTCTTCATAAACGGTGCATTTCGAAATTCTAGGTGATCCATACCGAACAAGTTCTAGCATATCATGGTTCAGCTAGCTGTTTCACCAAGGCGTCATTACTATATCACGTTTAAAATTTTATTATCTACAAATAGAGCTAGTTCCGAACACAAAAGATAAACGTATCCAGAAATACAAATTCCACGGTAAGGCATTGCGCATTTGACTGCAATTATTATCAGTAAACATTTCTATATTCCTGTACCAAAATTACGAAACAGCTCGAGTTAACTGTTTTCCCCTGGAGTATAAATTGGTTTTGTTTTGCATTCATGTTACCATGACTATGGATCATTCGATCCCAAATCATGGATTTCCCTTTATCTCGCACTTTATGTTTAGGTGAATATACCTGCATCAATAGAGATCTTTTGATATGGTTCATCTTCTTCCAAAATTTAACTACCACTTGGCTCATTCCTTAAAGCAGACCACAAAGATACACTACCATGATCACCAGTAACTGAAGCCGTAACTTAGAAGCTGAAGGAGAAAGCGCTACTGAAAAGCAAGTCGAAAATTTCGTTCCCATATTTTGAACCTTTTCCCCGGGGAAGGAAGTAATGTCAGAAAGAACGCACGGCAACATCAGTAACCCATTCGGTAATACCAAACTGACATTGGAGACAAAGAAGGATGACCAGCTGACATTTTT